GAGAAAGTTATGGAAAGGAATCCTGACCGATTTGTTTTAGTAGCAATAAAAATAACAAGTAATGATTTTACAATTTCCTAGAAAAATTACATGTTTTATTTTACATTGAGTGCCTATCAAACAAACATTGAATAATTTAAAATCTAAAATACAATATATTTTTTTCTTGAATGTAAAAATATTTAAACAATGTAGTATATGGTAAAAAAATATGGTAAAAAATACGGTAAAAATATGGTAAAAACTGAAGGCCGTATTTTTTTCAAAACCCACATTATTCTACGATCGTGACGAAATGATTGTTTAATTTACTTATTAAAAAAATCCTGACATATAAATTTTTGTTGCGTGAAATATGAATTATATAGAAAAAAAATGTTGAATTCTAATTCCCCCAAAATTTTTGGTTAAAATACCGATTTCCAGGAATTTTTGGTCATATCCATACTTTTGATCGAAGATCTTTGGGAGTGAGTGTCTTTAAGTAATTTTAATTAATTTGCATAGAACTATTTGTTCCATCTATACTCATTCCCATTGGTGGCAAATCGTCCTGCCGAAAGCAGGAATGTTACCAATCATGGACTGGTGAAATAAAAGTGGCTAACAAAGCAATACACCACCACCAGGTGGTGTATTGCTTTGTTAGCGTGGTGATGTAAACATCAGCACGCTAACAAAGCAATATAACTTTGCCTCCAGATCCCTCAAAAGAGCCATTGCTAGGGCGAAATCGGATCACATTTCTCGTATGGTGAGAGACTGGTGAGTCTTCTCTCTGGAACTCGTGCATTCTGGTCTCTTGCCAAGGCAGTCCAGAGGAATTTCTGTAGCCAATCCCTTCCACCCCTGCAGATGGGCGATGATTCGTTCATCGTTCGTCCAACTCAACTGACGGGGGAAACGTACCCCTGACCATACCGCGGTGCCAGAGGTGTATGGTCAGGGAATATGGTTTGCACAGAAATCAGTGCGTAAAGCACTCTTTTCCCTCAATATTCATAAGTCGAGTGGGCCCGATAGAATCTACCCTATCGTGCTGAAGATGTGTGCTCCAGAGTTGACACCGGTTTTTACTCACCTTTATCGGCTCTCCTACTTCCTAGGTCCCGAACTCTTGGAAGGTAGATTTTGTGCGCCCGATCCCTAAAAAAGCTGACCACGTGGATCCGTCCAACTTCAGGCCTATAGCCATAACTCCCTTGTTCTCTGAGACTATGGCATCCGTAATCAACTGCCAGCTCCTCCGGTACTTAGAAAATCACCAGCTACTCAATGACCGACAATATGGTTTTCGCCAGGGTCGCTCAGCTGGTGATCTTTTCGTTTATCTAACACACCGCACAATGGAAAATCGAGGTCTGTTTCAGATCAAAAATCGATAACTTTTTTATTCGTCAAGAAAGACGATTGAATTTTTACACAAGCATAGATATAAACATATAAGGCTATGATAAAAACAAAAAGTTTTAAGAAATTACCTTATTTTATTTTCAAAGGGACAACACTATTTATATTTTGAACAAAAAGTTATTCTTATGTTATAAAACTATAATATTAAAACAACTTACCAATTTAAATAAGTAAATAAAAGTTATGATTTAAAAATTATTTCATAAAATGTTACAAAATACTAATTTATATGTAAAATATTCTACAATCTGTGGAACAGGTTATCGTCTGCGTATTTCCGGATACGTCGTATTTCCGGACGGATACAACCTTCAAGAAAAGAGCGTACTTCTTCCTAAAAGGCCGGCAACGCGTTTGTGATTCCTGAGTAGCAGACGTCACTTTCCAACAGGTGACCCGTCTGTTCGTCTGCCCCTCTAGCACAAAAAAAAAGTTATGATAATGTGTACATTACGCTTAATTAACTAATGGCTAGAGAAGAGTATGAAATGTTCATTTGTAGCTGATCGAGAGCCTGTACTATGGTAACCAGACTGCTGATAAACATACTTATATGTTTTTAAATAGATACATATCATAGACAAATTTCTTGCGCATCTTCAGAAAGTTGACTAATAGGAAGCACAGCAAAATGCTTAATGATACTTTCACCATGAATTAGAATTTTGTCCTAATTGTCCTTTTTCACCTCACTTCTTGTTAAACACCCACAAATTTTTGAAAAATAATAATTTTAAAGTAAGTAAGAACAATGCAACATGTCGTTCTCCGACCGTTTTCCATAGTGCACCGGTGGGCACAGGCGATCGAGACCGTGGGAGAGCTTGTGCAAGGCTTGTGCGGTAAGCTTGGACATACCGAAGGCCTTCAATCGGGTGTGGCCTAGGGTGCTTCTCTCGAAGCTCCGTTCCTATGGGCTTCCCGAAAAATTATGTAACTGGGTCATCTGTTTCGTTGCAGATTGAAGCATTAAGGTCGTTATCGACGGTGCATGCTCCGACTTCAAGTCAGTAAATGCTGGTGTCCCGCAAGGCTGTGTGCCTTCACCCACACTGTTTCTTCTGCATATCAATGATATGTTATCCATCCATTGCTATGCAAATGATAGCATGGGAGATGCCGATGATAGCATGGGAGATTTATACCGGTCGTCCCAATAGTTCTCGGGAAAACGTGATCGAGAGTCGAAACAAACTTGTGTCTGAAGTTAAAACTTCCTTAGCGGAGGTTTCAGCTTGGGGTCGACTAAATCTGGTGCATTTTAACCCAAAAAAGATACCGTTTGTCGTATTACCTCGGTTCGAGAGCACCTCCCTAACTGCCTCGGCCAGTATTGCAATCCTAGGCATCGAGATATCGAGCGAAGTCCAGTTTCGAGGTCATTTAGAGGGTAAGGTCAAAGTGGCCTCGAAGAAGCTCGGCGTGCTGAACAGATCGAGGCATTATTTCACTCCAGCCCATCGCCTCCAACTCTATAAGGCGCAAGTCCACCGCATATGAAATACTGTTCTCATCTCTATGCAGTGGCACAGTACCAGCTTCTCCCTCTGGACCGTATCCAAAGAAGAGCGACTCGAATCGTCGATAGCCAAAAGATCTGCGACCAGCTCGATCAGTTGGCGTTACGTAGAGATGTAGCTTCGCTCTGCATTTTCTATCGTATTTATCACGGAGAGTGCTCCGAGGAATTGTTTGGACTAATACCGGCCGCAACCTTCCGCCATCGTTCCACACAGCAAAATTTTCATCCCCACCACTTGGATATTTGGCGCTCCATCACTGTGCGCTTTTCAAGACACTTTTTGCCTCGCACTACTAACCTGTGGAACGAGTTATCGGCTGCGGTATTACCGGACCGATACGACATTCAAACCTTCAAGAAAAGAGCGTTTCCCTTCCTCAAAGGCTGGCAACGCGCTTGTGACTGCAGGCGTTCATTGGTGGTGGCAGTCGCTTTCCATCAGGTGACCCGTCTGCCCGTTTGGCCTCTATTTCATACAAGAAAAATAAAAAAATTATATACATGTATAAAATATTTAGTTAAAAAAAATATATAGTTATATACAAAGACAAAATTTTAGGTGCATATAAAAACTATCTGAAAGTGAAGGAAATGAAAAACCTTCGGGAATAAAACACGTGAGAAAATTTAATAATGTAACATTTAATTAATTTAATGGTTACTTAATATAATTATTTTTTATTTAGAAATAATAATTTTGATATGTTTCATCGAATATTATGTGGCATAATGTATTTTAAGAAGTTTCATGGCTATTAATATTGTTTACTTGAAAAAAAATCAACTATTTATTGAAAGATTACATAACTAGATACTACAAAAAATGTAGCACCATTGTAACCTTTGGTCACTACATAAATGATATCAGATAATCAGGACAAATCGCATTGTCATTTTATATACATTTACTTACGTGTCATGATAGTTAAAGATAATATATAAACTGAACGCACGTAGCCTAATGCAATAGTTTTCACATAAATTTTATATTTGTGACGTAAATTCCTGAATATTCCAAATTTCACAACAAAGCGGAGGGATGAGGAAAAAGAAAAGTGTTAGATATGGGAGTTGAGGGGTACAAGAGAAGAAGAAGACCAAAAAAAAAGGTGGATGGACTGTGTGAGTGAGGATATGGCTAGGAAGGGAGTAAACAGTGAAATGACGAATGATAGAGTAGAATGGAAGAATCATACTTACTGCGCCGACCTCAAATAAAATTGGGATAAGGGTAGGCAGATGATGACAAACTTTCTGGAACAAGAGTACAAAGAGGTTATATTTTATAAATTATATTAAGATTGAGCCAATGCCCAATGGAAAGAAGCTTTAGCTATTTTAAAAAAAAAAGCCTCTCAGTTCTGAAACTAGTCGAACATTTACAAAACGCACTCGTGACTAAACTGAATATACTTTGTTAATGTGCATGCAACTCACAAAAGTTAAGTAAGTTATATAGACAGTTCATAAAATCGAGTTAGTTACATTGCAATAGGTATATACATTTCGAATATTCGAGGTTGTGTGTTTTGTTTATTAATTCCCTTTCTCGTCCTACTTCTTCCTATATCTATCTTGTATTCCCGAACAGAAAATTGAAAAACATCACCGTACCGATTTCACCAAAATGGACAACCCTATTGAATTCTAAAAACGTATTACGCGTTATTATTCAATACTACGCGCCGCGACAACACTGGAACAATCGCTCGTTAGGTGTTACTCTCGTTACCTATAACGAGAATTACGCGAGTCAAGAATCAGTTTTTATTCATGTATTGTCATAGACCCCTGAAGTAATCCGTCACACTATTCATAATTCAATACAAAGAAAAGGAATTAAATACATATTATTTATATTTAACACATTTTTTCATTCCAAATTATAAAATCGATCTCACTCAATCGATTCTAATGCCAGTCATTAATAACAGATTAAAAAAACAATTAAATTAAAACCTCAAAATCACACAACAATAAACGAGGAACCCCAAAAAAATAAGCTCACTCGAAGTAATCGGTGCGTTCGGTGTTGTGAAGCCTTATTAGAGTTAAGTTAGTTGAAATGTCCGCGCCGACGGGACAACACGCGAGTGAGAAAAACAGTGACGTAACCGTCATTGACATCGACACCGACATCGATATTATCACCGATATTATCGATAATATCAATAACCAAACAAAAATAGAAGATTCTAACGTACCAGTGATATACATAGATAAGCCAAAGGAAATTAAAGCCATGAATGGAAACGGTAAGTTTTTTATTGTTGTTATTTTGTATTATCATAGAATAACAATAATTTGGTCATTGTATTCCTGTCATAAAAAATGTGAGCCAGTGTCTGATAAATATTATTGATTGCTATGTTTTATACTGTTTTGTCGCTATCAAAGTGGCTATTCTTTTGCAGTCTTCGTTGCGTTTCCCCTCCAATTTTATCTTATTTCTTTGTCCCGTCTTAAAAATTTTAAATTCCCAAGGAGAGTTGGCGTTAGGTAAGGGCCGGCCATAAAAAATAACTAGGAAAGACTAGCATAACTCTTTTCGCTGGCACGAAATAAAATTAGAAAAACTGTAGGCAAATGATGACGATGTTAGTTTTTAGGATATAATTAGTGTACGAAAACTTGTCACAAAACAAAAAAAAAATGAGATGTTTTAGCCAATTAGCAATTGTAATAGTATATATAGTAAACTGTTTCGTAAACCAGCCACAAAAATTACTATTCACAAAAGTCTCGTACAAAGTCATCTTGAGTACTGTTGTGTAGTTTGGTCACCCCAATATACTGTACATCAATCATCATCATTAGAAAAGAACGTATTTCAAAGCGATTCGTCAGACACCTTACTTTTTCTTGTGGGCTACAAAAGCAACTTCCTTCATAGTGATAAATTGCGACACTTTCATATGGATAGCCTGTCAATTCGTCGGCAGTAGTATGATATGTCATTCCTTTATAAAGTAATTAGGTGTAAGTTCGAATGTCCACTGCTTTTGAGGGCATTTAGCTTGAGCGTACCATGTCGTGTGCCTAGACAAGTCCTCGCTGACGCAGGGTTGTTTTATCAGCCACCGGCCAGAACCAATCTGAAACAATTCTCAACGCTAATTCGTTTGTCCAAAGCATACAATGCCTGTGGCATACAATGCATATGTGGGCAAAAGGACATATTCGAAAACCAAAAAAAAAAATAAGTTGTTAAAAGTTGCTATGAGATTAGTTAGGCTTAACAAATGATTCAAGTGGTCTCTTAGGTAGTTAAAATTAAAATCATATAATAGTAATAAGCTTGTTAATTAGTGTAGTAGTATAGTGGTAATAGTGGTTTAAGCGGTCGCCACGCTGCTTCCTATTACGCTGAGTAATGTGGGTTCAAACCCCACATGGAACAACACAATCCATAATTTTTTGTTCTGAGTCTGGGTGTCCTTTGTGCCCGTTTCATGTATGTTTGTAAAGTCCTCCGTGACGCAGGAATTATTCCTAGTGCAGGAGTTGTATTTTTTAAAAGAAAAAAAGAAAGAAAAGAATGGTTTGTTTTAAATATTACTATATTTTATTCTTTATTTTATATTTGTTCAATTAAGTGTTAAAATCACATAGATGTTTTTCTACTTTTGGGTTTAACATAGTAGTGTCGTGACGCCTTAAAATGTTGTGCATTAATCTTAATATAATAGATGCATGCTTTACATTTTAGTAAATAATGTAACAACTACTGGCTGTCTGTCTGTCTGGCTTTCTTTGTCATTAAATTCCCAAGGAGAGATGGCGTTAGGTAGGGGGCTGGCTTTAAAAAATAACTAGCAAAGACTAGCATAAACTCATTTCACACACAATGATAAAACTACATACCGACATATATACACTCAAGTTTAAGCCTATTCACGTTAACCGCCAAATTATTGCTCAGCTGGATGAGGGCATCAACTCGAGCAGCTAAGAACGTATATTTATACAGGAACTAGCTGTGGCCGGGAAATCCGAATTATCTAACTATAATTATTAGGTAAATATCTACTAAACATTAGCAAATTATTGTCATATTTGACAATAATGTATACAGACTTATTTTATACATCCTTTTTAAAAATTGCGGCCACATTGTCGTTTCGTTTTGTTAATTCATATAATATATATAAATGTGCCATCAGTGCTTCGTAACTTTTTTTAAAAGTTTTTAAAAAATAGTAAAAGAAAACCGTAAATACCGACAGCGGTGCCAGTTGATTAATTTTCAACGGGTCGGAAAAGAAAATTGTCGTTCTGTTACATTAGCCGCACGAACTAGTGATGTAATAACTAGCTTAAAAATAAAAACAAACACGGAAATAATTTCATGCGGCCATTACTTACAATATACTTACTTTTTTTGTTATAATAGTAAATTTATGACATTGGAAATTTTACTCGAATTTTATTTGCTTATATAATCATACAGATACGTATAATACTTTAAAATTATACATTTACCATAATTTATGTTCGTAAAAGACTTTATTTGCATTCATTTCAATATTGATTTTAAATATATAAGTGGAAGTTTTTATGCATATGTAGAATTTTAAAATATTTGTATCTTCCTACGAACTTGACAACTGTTCTACTCAATACATAGTAGGTATTCTATTTATTACTGAAGTATGCACCTAATAATTGTAAAAATTACAACATTGTGCACAGTATAGGGAACTTCAAGGCACAGTATAACGTATATTTTAAAATTTGTGTAGTAACGCAATATGGTATGAGAGAATAGTATAGTAAGGAAAACTCTTAGTTTTAAATCACATGGGGCAAACATATACTAGCCTTTGCCCGCATCTCCGCCATTGGTGAACGATTTTTTAGAACCGGTTTAGTGGTTTAGGCATGAAAGCGTAACAAACAAACATACAAACAAACAAACTTACTGTCACATTAAAACATAAGTATGAAAGTTTGCATTTATACGTATCAATGTTGAGTTTTTTTGTGATTTCTTGAAAGGGACGTGTGTAATAGGAAGCCGAGGTTGGCTGTCAGGCAGTATGTGAGCTGTCAGATGTTACAATTCATATCAGGTTATTATCGGTCTCGGGTTCGATTCCCGGGTCGCACCGAATGTTTGTATGATCTGCAAATATTTGGTTCGGAGCTTGGATGTTTTCTATGTATAATATGTACATATTTACAAAAAAAAATGTATTGTATATACAAGCTCTGCTTAGTTTATATATTATTATTAATATTTGCCACTACTATACATCTTATTCGTTTTATTAAAATACAACGAGAATCGATAAGTATTAATTATCTAAGTATTAACAAATTTAAATCCGCAATAAAACGTAAATTATGTCAGAAAGCCTATAAGTCAATTGAGGATTACATAGAAGACAAAAAGACTTAGAATTAATTTAGCGCAGTCTATTTCTTAAGTAAATATATGGTGTGGGCTAGCGTGTTTTTTCTATTTTCTATGTCTATCTTTTTTCTCATCTTGTTTTTTCCTTTATTGTCTTTTTACCTTTTAGTCCTTAATAACGGACACACTGGCACACATCAAAACAATGTTTTAGTATATGATGGCATTGTATCTATCTATAAATTGCAGAAGAGTGGCCATTAGTTTGTTTTGCCCTTTCTTCTCATACGGCTCAACCCCTTAGAAAGGGGCGGTTGTAGATCGGCACAGGCATTTCATACATTTTGTATAAGTTTTTTTTTCTTACTATTATATGTTTATGTTATAACACGGAAACTGATTTTTGGCAATGATATGCTATACTGGTATTTATTAAAATTACTTAACAAACGTCTAAACCTATATATCTATAGTCTTACTTAGTCAGTAGCTATGAAGAAGATTAGTAAAGAAGAAAGGCTGAAATGAATCACACCAAATATACCGTAAACCTCTTAACCTTAAACCTCTCTCTTTGAGTTCATTTTAATGCATAACAAGTTATTATGACAGACAGTCTTCTGCTGTCAGTCTGTCGTCTAACATTAAAGATTACAAATTAATTTTATAATTTAGGTGGTGGATAACATAAGCAACAATATTGTTACATAAAAAATGAAAAAGAACGTAATTGCTTTTTCATAGTGTATTTTTTAGGATTCGGTATCCAAATGGAACAAACAGAGCCTGAACTTCCTCTGTCTGTGTATCTGTCTGCTATCTGTATCGTGTCTACCGTAATAGGCAGACTGTTGAAATTATCACACACACTTTTTTTATCAGTGTTTTTCTCAAATTCTGCATACGTTTCTCTCAATACCGCACAATTTAGTGACAAATCGTTCTCGGTGCAAAAAGTTAGACTGTGATAACTTTCCTAAGGCATTGCCTTAATTAGGCAGGCTAAATCTTTGCAAATCTTAAAAAAAACAAGTTACAAATTACTACTTGACATTGTAAAAGCTGTTAAAGGATTATTGATTGTTGTTAATACTTGGTACGTCATAGATTATAAACTATTTGTGTATTTATGGACTGCTTGTTTTTCTAAAATTCTCTAAAATTTCTGAAATCTGGAACGATTGTAATAATTCCCACGAATTCTACATACCATCCTACTGCTTATAGTCGTTATACATAATGTATTGTTGACAGATATATTAAGAAAATCTAGTTGTGTTGTCAGCGCATTTATTATAACATTCATTATATACTAAACTATCACGTAGGTATTAAATAAATTTACAAGAGCGGCAAACGAGTATACGAAAACGAGTTTTAAAATTCTAATAGCTTACGTTTAATAATAACAGGTCGAGTGTAGAGGACGTTCATATTATTGACTCGTTAATCAAAGTACCTACTCAAATTGCACATGTCTATCCTGCATTTAATTAATATTGTCATGGCATGGCATGTTGATGAGCAAAACACAAATTTTAAAACAAGATTGTAGGCAATTACCAAAAGGTTTTAAGGTCAAAAGGTCAATTTGAGTATTTGGGTTATTGACCGTGTTTTTAACTTCACATGGCGTCTGGTACCTACTCAAATACATTCTAAGTAAAATAATTCACTCACTCCAGTGTCAAATGATTTCCACTCTCCAAATTCCGGTCAAGAACTAGCGTGTTTACACTAGGAGCCAAGGGAGGCCGTGCCCGGGGCGGCAGGTCTTAGGGGTGACAGTCTAGTCGCGATTTGGAAGGTGGAGAGGACCACCACCCAAGTCACAAATCTAGTACTTACACGGGTAACTGAAATTGACTTGTATTCCGATTGAAGAATATGTATTAAAAA